TTAGAGAAATACATGAAACAGTTTCATTAAGTATTTTATATGAAACAATTTCACAACCATATATGAAACAACTTGATCAAAAAATGTATTATATGAAACAATTTCACAAGATTAAACAATTTCATGAAAAAATTTCATAAGATTAAATAATGAAATCGACGGATGAAAGTGGTTTGCACGGTTTACACAAATGAGGGCGGTTTTTATTTGATCACTCTTCTATATATATATATATATAGAGAGAGAGAGAGAGAGAGAGAGACGAAAGATCGTGTGAGGAAAAAAAAGTTAAAGTGAGAATGGTAAGAAGGGATCTGCACTTTTGATCACTCTTAATCTCACACTCATCTATGAATGTGCTCCTTACGAGAATTGATCTGGTGCTCGGGTACATCTCCTTAGTGTTGATCTTCAATTAAAATTGATCCAATGGTCCAGATCCCTTCTTCCAATTCTCATCATAACTTATGTTATCACCGGAACCCAAATATATATATATATATATATATATAGAGAGAGAGAGAGAGAGAGAGAGAGAGAGAAAGAGAGAGGAACAATCAAATGCAAACCACCTATGTTTGTACAAACCGTGCAAACTACCCTCATTCATCGATTTCATTGTTAAATTTTACGAATTTTTTTCATGAAATTGTTTAATATTATGAAATTGTTCATATAATACTTTCTTGGATGAGTTGTTTCACATAATACTTATGGAATTTTAATGAAACTGTCTCATGTATTTCTCTAAGATTAATATAATGAAGATGATAATATCCATGATTAACACCCTCCACAATAAAAATGATTAATCAACCTCTCATAATGGGACCATTCTTGAGTTTTTTTGTTCCACCAAAAAAGGTAGAACAACATGGGACTAAATTTGAGATTACAATATTACCCTTATTATTTGATATCAGATAGAAAACTTAATTCCATCGCATCCTCTTTCTTCATCTTCCAGCTTATCAACTCCAGCCTCCATTCCACGAGCTCGAACTAGATTCCAGCCTCCATTCAGGTACGATTTCTCCTTAATCTTCCTTGGTTATCGATTTAACCTTCACTTCCATGGTTATTGATCGACTCTCTTAACAATCTAGATCGATTTCTCTTATCGATCGATTTCTCTTAAAAGGTCTACATTTTTCTCTGTTGTTTGTTTATATGGTTGCATTATGTTGCATTAGTATATAGAAGTTAAAGTAAATCTAGATCGACTCTCTTAACAATCAACATTAACACTAATCACCTTGAGCTTAGTTGATACATTATTAAGCCTTCTTATAGTGAATTAATTCAAACAGGACTATATGTTATAATGAGGTATCAAACATTGTTAATAAGCCGATCTGTTTCTTTGCTTATCAAGTATCCAGATTAAGTTCCAGAGGCCTCGTCCTTTTTGATTCCCATCAAGTTTCTAAATCAAACAACTGTTTGGAACAATCTGAGTAGAACCAAGATCCAATTTGTCAATTAATTGTCAACCCTTAACCAATGAGCAAGGACCAGCATTCTCTGCTTGTCGTCCCACTCATACCCTCTACTACTATAAACTTATGCATCTTGTGATTGTTAATAATTGTGGAAATGATCAAAACGAAAAAACTCATGTTGTTTACGACAGACTTTAGTTCCAAATTTCATGTTGGGTTTAAAGTTGTGCTTAATGTTGTATTCAAGAGTTTCTCCAAATTGTAATTTTTGTCTTTAAAGCTTTTTAGGTATAAATAGTTTTCTTCTTGTAGTAGAAATCAGTTGTAATCTTCAAGAATTTGAATACAGAAATCCTTTGGTGAAAATTCTCTCTATATTCAATTTCTGTTCTTGATTGATTGTATCTGATTTGAAGATTTGGGATTCTCATTTCAGTTTTCTTCTTCTAATAGGAACATCACCTTTGTTGTTGATCTCTTGGATATGTATAACTAAATTGAATTTTCCGATAACCTTGTTTCGCCCCTTAGACTATGAATGTTTAAACTTTTGATGATGTTATGATACGTGTTATTTACAATTGTTGTGTTTTTTTTAAATTATGTACGTATTTACGATTGTTGTGTTGGAATATTTTTAAATTATATACGTTTTTTACAATTGTTGTGTTACAATCATGTATACAAATTTAGAAAATAGAATAAACATTATAGATGTAATTATTTAAATATATTTTGGTTGATTTATATCATTTAGAATCATTATATGATGCAAAATAACATTAAACAACATTTAGGGGCAATCTGGTCATTTTAACGGTTTTGTCAAGTCCTGTTTAACGGTTTTGTCCAGTCCTGTTTAAGTCATACCAAACATAGGACATACAATTTAGTTCTGTCCAGTCTTGTCCCCTTTTGTCCCATCCAGTACCAAATGCTACCTTGTATCCAATTCAAATTTTCCTTGAGCAAGTTTTTTTATAGGTAATAAAATTTAGAAACCCAACAAGTAAATACGTTTGAATTTGAAGTAATAAGACTATCCCAATTATGACACTAAGAGGTTGTTTATTAAACACTTATCCAATAAATGCTTACCGGGTAAATTTTCTTTATTGGATGAACATGGTAAGGGTTTAGAATCTTACCCGGTTAGACCGGTAAAAAGAATGGAGAGTCTTACCCGGTAAGAGTGGTGAAAGGATAGAGAGTCTTACCCAGTAAGTGAGAGTGACGACTCTTACTCGGGTAAATGCTTACCGGATAATTGTTATATATTATATCGTTTTGATGCAATATAATTTTACCCAAAAAAATAAATTAGAACGTTGACTCATACCGGTAAAATACTTACTGGGTAAGCATTTGAGTAAACGACCCATAAGTAAATAACTATCAAGAACGAAGTAGGCTCTATTTCATTATATTCCATCCATATCCCAATTTCTACCATCTAATGGTAGATTGGCGAATGTTGGGCCGAGTTGGATTTGAACCAGCATAGACATATTGTCAACGAATTTATAGTCCGGAACATCTTCGTAGTAGCTCCCTTCCATGCGTCGTTTCATATGGAACCTCACGTGACATTGCTCCGTCAGGCTTTCGTCCATTGCAAATTTTTTGAAAAATTATTAATAAAATATTTAATTATTAATTATATACTTGTTTGGATAGATCATCAATAAAAATATTCATTGATTGATTTTTTAGAACTTATTAATAAAAAACTTTATAAAATAATTAATTATTAAAGAAACAATATTTGAAGTTTTTTAATTTCTTTATTAATATTTGGTTAATTTGATAATTTTACAAAAATATATATTTTTAACGTGTGATTTTTATACCAATAAATTAGAGGTGATCATTCGTGGGCATAACTTATTTTTTTGTCCAACAAGTCTAATATTGTAAACTCAAGTCTTTTTTTTTCGGGCTTGACAATTTGCTATTGTCTGCGCTATAAACGCGTCGGGCTTGCCTACAGGCTAACGGGCCTAAAAAGTGTAACTCTTATAAATCTATAAACTTGATCACTAACAATTAATTAACAAATGTGAAACCAAAAAGTGTAACTCTTATAAATCTATAAACTTGAAATATCCAACTTGTAATCGAGAGTTTGGAATAAAGGAGGAGCAACAATGAATCATAGGGCAATCAACGAGATGAACATGAGAGTGAGAGGGTGTGAATGACAATCTAGGAACACGAACGCCTTTGAATGGTTTTGGGATGACCTAGGATGAATAATCGCTCAGAGCCTTATTGAATGATTCAGAGTTGAATCTTTTAGTGAGATCATTAAGAGGTAAATAAACAACCTCTTAGCCTTTTGGATTCTCAAGAATAACTAAAGAGTTTTATCCTATAACTTTAATTTTAAAATATACTAGTATAATTTTAATTAATGGTAAAAAAATATCTATACTACTTAATAAAGCAGAAAGCCCCAAAGTCTTAAAGTCTTAACTTTTTTAATACCCAAAATACCCTTCCATTTCCTTTACACGCCTCCTCTCTCCCAAAATTCCTTTACACGCCTCCCCCTCCCCAAAAATGCCTTTTCCCGAGGAGCACTCCTCTATCTTCTCAACACTCCTCTATCTTCTCAAGACAAGCGTGAAGAATATTATCTTATCAAGACAAAAGGGTGTAAATAAGATTATCTTCCCAAGAGAAAGCTCTCATCTCTCCATACATTGTCATTGACGATTCATGCTCCCGATTACTTATTCAAGATCACCGTGTAATCTCTCCACACAATCTCATTGATTCCCTCCTAAAATGACGATTCAGAAGTTGCTGATGATTACTTATTCAAGATCACCATACATCGATTCGCTCTCGATCCATGCTTCAAATATGGCTAGGGTTCCAGTCCAGGTAATATTTTTGTTTTTCATCTTCATTTGATTGGTTAGGGTTTTTGATTTTTCTTTGCGTTAGCACTTGAAATCTTCACTTTTATGGGTTAGGGTTCTTGAGTTTTCTATGGGTTTGTATGTAACCGCCAGGCTTCCGGCCTTTTCATTCGCCTCCGCCGCTTGCGTTAGCCGCTCTTGTGTTAAATTTACTACTTTTGTGTTTGATTGCCATTACGTTTCTTCGTCTTTTATGGACACCAAAGTGTTTGATAAACTTTTCCAATGAGAAAGAGTCAAATTACAAACTTTTGTGGTTTTTGGTTAGTCGTTGATTGGTCTTTAGGAAAAAAAACTTACATTGTTTATGCATAACATTTCAAGGGCTTCTAATAAGTGGCAAATACAATGATTCTTGTTGTTGCTTCCTATTCCTCTTTATTGAAACGTTTATTTCTTCTCAAGAGAAGCCTACGCGTGTCATGTTCGTTTATAGGAACTGTTGAAACATGATTAAAACATAATTCTGGGTATTGTGAGATGAGGGTGCTGTTTCTGGCTTCATGGTTTGACAAATTATGCATTCCTTTATGATGGTGGTTCATGAAAGGATTGTCATCTATAGAGAATGTTGTTCGTTAGCTTCATTTACTACTTACAGTTCTAGGCAGATGTTGGTTAATAGAGAATGTTACTTCTTTATGTCTTATTATTCTTAGTTTAGTTAATAGAAAATAAGAACTTACCGATTATCGTTGAAACCTTACAATTTTACATGGTATTACTGTATTAGGTTCCATCGAATATGCTCTGTTTCCAGGTAATCAATCAGTTCCATCGAATATGCTCTGTTTCCATAGATTTACAGTCTCTCATCCAGGTAAGCACTCTCCATCGATTTTGGTTCACTTTTTTGTACCCTCTTTTGCCGACTTCTTTATGATTGAAATTTTTAAGTGGATATCTAAAATGTTCATGTTGTAATGTTAAATGGCTGCTGTCATTCAATCATTCCAAGTATCTTCCATCGAAACTTAAGGTCATTAGGTCCGGCATCTTAACAACAGTAAACTCCGGGTGCAATTGATGCATCTATATATGAAAGAAAGAGTGTTTATAGTAGTTATATTTATACCGAAAGAATTTATGGATCAAACTCTGTTATTAATGTGATATCCTACAAACACATAAGAATAACTCTAGAATTATTGAGAAAAAAAAACTAAGAAGCAAAAAAAAGTAGAGATAAGAGCAGGTCCCTAATGGAAAAAAAAAAAAGAGTAGGTCCCTAATGGAAAACGAACAAAGGAAGATACAATAGAAATAAACAGAGTATATGAGTATGTATAAATAGGAAAATAGATAAGGGAATGCTTAAAGAACTATGTGAAATCTTACACACTTATTCAGGCATAAAATTATTACAAATATGTGAGCATGAAGGTAGACTATCATAAATTGCTTAGCAATTTCTGAGGTTGTAAACTACTCTATTTGAACCAAAATAAACGTCCACAATGAAAAGCAACAGAGTTTTAGAATGTGCTTATTACACTTTATAATTAACTAAATGACAGTTTTACTCTTAATCTTAGATGAAGTAACGAATTTCTCCATCTGGTTCGTAGTTATATGTCTATTGGATTTTATGTGTTTCTGTTGTTTTACAATTTCTGGTTTCAGCTTTGGTCTACTCTAATGGTTGGCCTAGATTTTGATTTCATCTTATTTCATGGATACCCATGGAGGGTTATTAATCAACTTGGAATTGGAGGTTTCATGGGGAGAGGAAGTTTTTCTTATGCAGCGATTTGAGAGTGGTGTTCCCACAGTGCCATTCAGATGCTAATGAAGGAAAGGTATGTTCATGATGGTTTTCCATTTGGAATCGATGCATTAGTTTTCCATTTCTGCACGGTTTCTTTTGGAATCGATCCATTAATTTTTATTTGTAACAACCTTATTGGCAGGAAAATGAGGTGGCAGATAGAAAATGTTCCTTCTTCTTTTGTTAGAAAATGTTCTACTTTTTGGTATCGATTAGAAGTTCATGTTGCTTGTATTTCTTTTAGACATTTGGTTGAATGTTGTGAGGCTAGACCATTCTATCTACACAAAAGAATGTATTAGTAAAATGTGTATTTCTATTTTATCCTTTTGATTCTTTTTTTTTTTTTACTAAACTTGAAAGATTGAATGTTTAAATATAAATTTTGTACTTTTTAATGAATAATTGCACTCATTTTTAGTTGTAGGCTTATTAGAAAATTTGACATCCCGTCGCATTGCGCAGGTACTTAACTAGTTAATTATAAAATATAAACGGACTGGACAAACATGTCCATATTTATTTTTACATTGTCTATGTCCGTTCATTAATTTTAATGAACAAACACGGGTCTGTCCATTTTTACAATAATAGTAGTCCAAGTCCGTATTTCTACCGGATTGCATGAGCCGGGTCTAACATATTGTCTCACCCATGAACAACTCTACATTAAATATGAGAATTTCATAAGAATATTGCAAATAATGATATAGAAGGCCTTAAGGGCCTGTTTGTTTTTTCAAAATTACTTCTTAATACATTTGAAGTCTGATTCGTTCATACGTTTGGGTATTAAAAACGTTTATTTTATTTTTAAAATAAGAGTTTAAAAGCTCTAAATGTCCTCTGAAATTTTAAGTGGTAAATGTACCTCTTAATCCTAATTCGCCCTCTATCATATGGTTCATATTTCGGGAGCTGGAAGAGATTTGTTAGCAAAAACTATTCATCTTTTAAACTTTTGTTAAAAAAAAAAAACTTTTTATCTTTTATATTTTTGCATTATTTTGATCAATTCAGATTTCAAACGTAAAAATAAACAATCTTACTGATCCGGATTTCAGATTTTAGAACCACATCTTATAAATCAGAAGTGAAATCAAACTTCAGACTTTAATACTTCTTAAAAAACAGACGCCATCTAAATGTTCATTAAATTATATTAATGGGTTTTTAAAATTAAGTACTTTTTTAACATCTTTTTCTTATTATCTTATATTTGTCAGCTACTAACTTATCAAATCAATTAAAAGCTTGCTTATCATCTTGCTAGTCAAAATATAATTTTAATAAATTATTTATAAGACTTTTACTCAAATATATATATATATATATATATATATATATATATATATATATATATATATATATATAT